TTTAGCGCGCATATATTTTTACGCATGGAAAAAATTCTTATTACCTATCCCAATATTGTATCAATAACCTCATTTGATTTTTTTTCATCCCGGAAGAATATTAAGTGATGTATAATGTGCCACTGCATTAATAATAATATATATTTATAAGTATACTTATATGTGTAAAAAAAAATATTCTGAATCTAAGTATCGCGATCGGTATGACTAAATTAAAATACAATCAGAATTAACAGTTATATATAATTCGGTATTACTATAGCCAAAGTCGTAATTTTACAAAAAACCATCGTCCAGCTTTAATAAAAGTGTACCTAATATAATGTTAAAATAATAGTATTTTTATCACAATGAGCTATTATTATATCCTTATTTCTTTAGTCCTCAGTTAGTTACTGAACAGTTTATAGTAAAAAAGTTAGGTTCTCATTTAAAAAAGAAATTTGTTCGATAATCAATACAAACACTGAAGGATACTTCTAAATTGCATTAAAAATCTCCAAGTATTTGAAAATACATGATACTATAACAACTTAATAAGTATTTGAAAACTGTTTATAAACTTTATAATACTACAACTATTTAATGAGCATATACAGTGCAAAAAAACTATTAAGGCTGTGATTTTACGTCAACAAAATATCGGGCGAAAGAAAAACGAAAACGAAATCGTTTTTTATAGATTTTATTGTGTAATCAAACCACGTTTTGATGTACATACATGTCTGAATGTTAATTATTTAGGTACAATTAAGAAATTTCAAAGTATACAAACTCAAAATAATGTATCTAAGACATCACCTATCTACATCTATATATATATTTTTTTTTAATAACCCCAGCATGGGGGCGCTATTTTGGCTTGAAACTGATACAATAATCAAGTTGACGAAAAATTTGCTGTCTTTTCATCTTTAAGGACTATTTCTATAAAAGCGTTAAACATCGTCACGCCAAAAGATTGACGCTATATATGAACGTTTGAGAATGTATCATGATTCATGACGAATGACGATCTATGTATTAATCAGTCTTAATCATATGTCCAAAAATAGATGATTTTGGCCATGTATATAATAATTTTAAAACTATGATCTATAACGATCGTATTAGTTAACGATTAGGCACTCAGATATAGAAAATAATAATATGTTAAATCGAAATGTCGCGAGACACGCGTATACTACATTAATATTATATAGGTAATTATTACTAATAATATATTTATAGTATCATGTAAAAGTATCACCTGAAGGTATATTTACACGAATTCTGGTATTCTACAAAACGCTAATATAAAAATAAACGCTAATATTAATATATCGTGATATTAATATTTAAACCTCGACCGTTTTATTTTTATTACTCGGTGTACAGCATGTACTTAATACTGGTTATATTTTAATGTATATATAATATTATAAATAATATAGACAGCAATTGCATACTTTCGATGGTCTTTTAAAACAATTTACGACAGAATTTAATGATAATTTCCATTGCTAGTACACAAATACATAATTATTAAATATATTATACATAATATTATTGCCGTGCGTAACGTTTAAACGTGTTATTTTATTTTAAAACAAGTGTCGTATAAATATAAAAATATAAATTTGGATTAAAAACAAATGTCTAAGTGTTAAACCACATATTGGCGCAACGGCGTGTGTCCGGTTGGGTTGGAATAGAAATAAATAATACCAGTAGGTTTAATTCGTATATTTTAGGTACGTGTACATGTACATAAAAAGCATTAAAATTTTGAGTTATTCGCTTGGTTGCCTTAAATGTAATAACAATAAAAAAAAAATTTCGTTCACAAATTTACTGTTTACTGGTATACCATAATATTATATAGTAATTTATTACCAGAATATTATAATAATATTATTGTAATCGTAAGACGCATACCACAGATGATTTCTATCGAATGCCACGGCGTTTTTATAAGCAATACGTCATACACCATAATAAGCTAGCTTTTTGTTTAAAGTGACTTCATATCTGAAAACTATCCATACCGACGATACCGTTCAAGGAATGACCTACCATCAATCACTAATCAGAATGATCATAAAACATTATTGATAATAGCGTACAATAAAATGTCGTAACGTATTAAAATACAAACATCGTTGTTATTGTTTAGACACGACGAAAAAATATATTGAAAAAATCGTTTTATTTAAACTATTCACTCATTTAAATTTTCGCGCAATAAGATCAAGTACATAATATTATAATGTATAACTTATTGTAATTTTAAATCGTTACAATAAACACATTTTTAAGAATGTCTACCATTTATTATTGTTTCTTTTTTTTACTTTTATGAATGACAATACATATTTTTAATTTCATATTTCAAAGCACATAATATTCGAATTATTCTGATTTCTAAAAATCAAGTTTTGGATAAATAACGTTATTCTTTATAAAATTGATTCAGTTTGGATGAGTGAAGAAGTGGAGACTAAAATTGTGTGTCGTAATATTGTATAACATCGCCCTATTTACTTTTCTAAAATATTATTTTTATTTTTAAATGACAATGATGAAAAATAGTAAATAATAAAAATAAAAAAATGTTTTTTTTTTTTTTAAATTATCGAATGTCTTACATTAAATGCATTATTCCGATTTATCTGGTAGTAAACTTGGATACGTGGAAAAAAAATACGTTCAAGCAGCGGAAAATAAAGTGTAAGGCGTTGCAACTATATATAAATTATCGATTTCCTTTTTTTTTATCTAAAAATTGTATGAATACTCGTGTAATAATAATAATAATAATAAAAAATCCGAAATAAATGTGACTCGACTTTTGTGTGTCGTAAACTTGATTCGATATTTATTGCGTAATCGGAGATCATGAATGACCGAAGTCTCAAATGATAGTCGGCCGCCAATAGTTTTACTCAAATACGACATTATTATACCACAGCTGCTACGGCATCCGTAGCAAAATATATTTTATGAGAAAATAGGGGTGGTGAATGATGGCGATGGAGGGGAGAATGAAACGAAACTCAGTTTACAACAATGTGATTTTTATACGAGTATATCGTATACTAGTGTACTAATATATTAATTGAATTCATATCGAAAACGCGTATTATTATTATTATTATTATCGTACATGTTTTACTATCGCCGTTGTCTTATATTTCGCCGTATAATATATTTATTTTATTTACTGCACATTGTGGTAGATATGAAAAAATCTAATAAATATATGTGCCATTCGATTTTGTATCATACAACAAACTCAGAAATCGCACATTTTTATAAAATAACGAATGATGTAATAAAATATATTTAGATGACATGTTTTTTTTTTTTTTTTTATAAAGCACTTGATCAATTTTTAGCTTACGTATATTATGTAGATAACTCGATTAAATTTCTATTGAGCTGTAAGTTCTTTGCAATAACACAAAAACAAAATGTGTAAAGCTTAAATAAACAATTTTTTTAAAAACCCTGATAACTCACTAGTAAATAGTGATAGAGGAATTTATCATTCATCAGATACACATAATAAAATTGTGCTATTACCTTCTTCCAGTTGTTCAAAAGGCTCTCGAGGTTATGTATTAGAAAATCGATCAAATAAATAAGCACAGTAAATTTTTTGTAAAATTTTAACATGTAAATTAGTCTTATGTGGATCTGAACTATTTGTAGAATATGGTGTAGTATGATTACAGCCTATAAGTGACGGAAAATATGCATTAAATTTACACGAGTCAAATATAAAAAAAAAATCTCTGATAATGACTTATTAAAAAGACAGAAACCTGACGTTGCGTATTGGACTCGGTATTCGAGATATTCAAGATTTGTTGTTTTTGTTATTGAGGTGGCTGGAACATATGCACTGACTTGAAAAGAACAACTCCACATGCAGTAAGGGGCAGTGACTTTCATCAAAGGTTTTTGAATTTCTAAGAAATAGTTTTCACTTTGTCAACAAAACCCGTCTCTGCTATCCTTCTCAGTGCAACTGATGTAAAAAAAAAGTCATACGTCTTACGGTTAACTGTTACAAAAATGCGTTGATTTCTTAATACGTCACTTCAAGATATAGCTCGTCCCTTTTGTCAGCATAGATGAAGATTTATATCAGGGGTGCCCGTTTTCTGCGCTTGAAAATCTGGTCGTTATTAATTATTTATCTATTTTTAATTTTATTTATTACGATGGCGTGTCATTACATTCATCTTACACAAAAATATTGCTGTATGTTCGTTATTATACCCTATATCCATGTACTATATTTGGCAACAACGACCATGAAATATACAACATATGGTTTCAGCGCTATCCGATTATAATAAATTATATAGTTGTGCGTTACCATAATAACAAAACGGAATGGAAAAAAAAATCTTATCAAATGAAAATTTACACTACAATACACTTTAAAAACAATAAATTCTAGAGTTTTATACGCATCAACAATAAATTATTATAATAACAGTCTAAACGGGTCAAATAAATCGCAGTGAGTTAATAATAGTACCTAATATTCATTGCTTAATAGTTATTATAATAATATACTGTGTCCTGCAGTAGCAGTGGCGTATTTGAGATATGGTGGGCGATAAGCAAAATTCGAATCAAAACAAAGACGTTAATCCTCAAAATATACTCCTCTGCTGCTGCAGCTGCCGTTGTAACGAATGCGTGGCGTATTTGGAGTATTTTAAAAATTAACCATATGGGTCTTTTACTAATGTTATTTGATATTAGACAACAAAATATCACCGACTAAATAAAGACTCTTGATTTTTTTCTGTTTAAAAAAGGGGTGATCAATCGTTCATCCTCCCCCAACCTTCTCACTACGAGATGATTATGCTATTGGTTGTAATATATCGATGCATTTCAAAGACAAAAAAATGTATACAAACTAACAAGTTTAACTCGCATGCTTGCTTATATATATATATATATTAAATATTTAAATTATAGTATTATACTCTCTCTGCATGTCATCGTCAAAGGACACAGCGCATTGCAAAGACTCGACGTCAAACTTGCTTAAGTTACTCAACGGCGAGCGGCTCGATCATCGTGTGGTCACAAGACAAGACCTGACCACAGATTATCCATTGAACGACGACGATAATGATAATAGTACGCAACCTTCAAACTCAGAAAGCGTCGTCGCCATCAACAATTATTACACATGGAACTCGTCCAGAACGAATTCTCCCATACACAAGTATGTAAGTCATGCGCGTACAAGAACTGATAATATATAAATATGTATATATATATATATTGTAGTAATATCAAATAATATGAATATATAATGTCATGTTATCGTGATAGTGGTTCGGTAAGTATAGATAGGCATTTTCAAATTGCAGTTCTGCGAAAAAAGACTCGTTTGTAAATGTCTTTGATTTATTACTATTTTAGCAATATTTATTTTAAAAAAAGACACATTTAAGAGAAAATATCTCATAATTGTATTATTGTCATAACAAAATATGCATTTGATATGTAAGGTTGTATATGAAATATTTATGAAACATATGTTATAATTATATAAATTGATGCGACTATAATGTAATAATACAAAATAATTTCGATGGGAATAAAAAAAAAAACGATTTACTGATATCCTGTGGAGCTATTAATTTGCTCTGATCACATTGTTTGCCGAAATCGAGATAAAATCTGAATAAATTCTCACTCTCTTCATGGAAATCGTATTATATATTCCCTAATACATTAATATAATACTACATAACTTCTCTTATTACATCGTTAACTAATCCACAACATGTTTTAATTCATTCGTCAACCGTCATATCGTACAAAATATCATGTTTCGTTATTTGTAGTTTTAGTACAAAAGATTATAAATATCATATTCCTATACACATTTAATTCTTCTGATCGTTTTAATTAAAACTAACACAAGGTCATTCCTAGCTTTTAATAATATTTAAACGTTCTCTCAGATGTTATTTATTCTATAGTCTACAGACGCGTGAATCATCCCCTTTTGGTTTGTTTTTATCTCTACAATGTAAGCATAATTATTTTATTGTATTTGTATAATGTCAAATTAGTTTGAATATTCTTCAAATATTCCCTTTCTTACAATACCAATTGTTGAAGGTTATTAACCTGGTAGCTTACAAACAGACAGTAATGCTTAGCAGTTAAAGACATTTCTTAAAAATATAAATTAAAATAAGATACGATACAAAAAAACATGTATTATATGGTAAATACTAAATAGAATACCAACTATTTTATGGTGAAATTATCCTTTTGCACATATTTTTGGGTAGGAAAACTACGAAGGTTAAACATTTTAGTATAGACATTATATGGATACCATAAAATGAGGAGGTTTTTGATCGCGCAATATCGTATTCTATTTTCTCAATATCACTTATACTCGAATAAGTAAAAAGTTACTTGGCTTTGAAAAACGTGAAGCAAAAGATTTTAAAATGAAAATGGATTTCTTCGAATAGCATCATAATATAGAGTAGTTCCCCAACCTATCCCCCCCAACCAAAAAAAAAAAAAAAAAACCACAAACAAACAAGCAGTTAAATGAGGTTTTCCTATGTTTATACAGTGAAAATAAAAATTAGTCGCTTAACTGAGAATAAAATATAGCCCTTGACAATGATTGTGCGTGATATTAATTATAACATATTATGATACTGTTGCCTTGGTGACGATGCGCAGGGAGAGAGAACAAATTATTTCGGCACTGCAATCGGTCAAGTCGATATCGGAGTTGTGTCGCGAGCTGACTACACGCAATATACCACACAGAATGAAGGAAATCATGTCCATGTGCGCGGACCGTCGAGGCGATTTTTCGTCGGACGAATACCATCACCACCACCACCACATAAACAGCGGTAACGAGCCGGACGCATCTCAAACAAATCCGAATGTCATGACGACCGACAGGACGACGTTAAACCGACGTAGTTGGTCGTCGTCATATTTCGGTGGCGCGTCACGTTGCTGGTCGTGTACTGCTACCGACCGTGAAACGGACGACGTTGACAACGATAAGGGTAATGACAAGAACGCGAATGTGGACGAAACAAACTGCCGTCGGAAGTCCAAGAGGCAATTGTCGTGGAGACAGAAATTGAAGAGGAAATTCAGAAACAGTCGCAACAGCCGATAAAATAATGGACAACTTTATATTATATTTATAAATTATAATATATATTATTTTTTACAAATTATAAGATGATGTACATACCATGCAAACTTTTGTACTATAATAATAATCGTATCGTATGCAGTGTAATGTAAAAAATGGACAAATTAGCGACAGTAATGTTTGACTTATGAAGTAAACTAAAATAGTGAAAGTATAATAACACACTTATTAAAGTAAAAACTAAAAACAAAAAAATCTGAACAAAATGTTTTATTTTCATGTTATAAACATTTAAAATACCCATTTTTTTAAGTACCTTTTTATTTATATTATTAACTTTTATTGTTTCATTTTTTTTTTTCTTAAACTAAACACTACTTTTACAATTATTATCCCAATTGTAAATAGAGTTTTTTCGTACAAACCAATAAATATTTACATATAATATCGAAAGAGATAGGTATAATGTGTTATGACTAATCACAGCTAGTAATAATTATTGTAATATTTTTATTATCTTTTATTAAAATTAAATATCAAACATTTAATAGTTTACTAATTATTAAACAATACAAAGTGATTATTTTATTGAACAACGCTCATTATTTTGATATCTATTATTTTTGAAAATATTTTTAGAAGTATTTTTATGTATAAAAATTGACATTTGGACGAGTAGTTATATACTCGTATAACGATTTATAAGTATTTAAGGTTTAGGTAAGCAGAGTGAAGAAGTACAAAGGTACCCTGAAAAATTATCACTACTACTCTGCTTACCTTAACTTTAAATACTTGTAACTCATTAATTAATCGTCCGAATTTTGAGTGTTGTTCGATAAATGAATCACTCAGTATATATCATGTGTTTATTGCTGATATATTATTCAAAGCTAAGTTATAGGCTATTATATTATGTTTTCAAGATAATTTATATCATTCAAGTCATAATAGCTATAAAGTAATATTTTAATTCTTTAATCTATCTTCATATACTTTATTTTTCAGCAAAATATTGATCTCCTTTTGTTTTCTCTAAGTTTACGATTAACGTACAGTAGCTTATATGATGAAAATTTATCACAAATTTATTTTATTATTTTTTATTTTATTACTATCTATACTAAATATTCCAAGAAATTATTTCGTGATCATAAAATCTTGTATGCTTATTATCACTAGTATATTTCGTTATTTATATTTAAATATTCTGCTGTAAACTATACATTTTTTAGATTTTGTTATTATTTCTTTCGCTTTTTTTAACGAGAACCGTACAACTGTGAACAAGATCATTAAATTCACTTATATATGTAGACTAAAGGAACACTTTCGAGTTTTATACAATAATAATTCAAATAGTGATTTTTACAAAGAGGAAATTGTATTCGTTTAAAGGTAACAAACATTTAATACAAAAGTATTAACAATTTCAAAAATATATCTGTTTTACATAATTCCAGGTTTAATTCATAACAATAAATCTATTTTTATGGACATCATTATATATTTTTCATTTATTATCCTTAGGCAAAATATTTTTTCAGATTTTAAATATATAAAAATAGTATTTTAAGCGATTAGTTAATTTTATTTAAAAGTATTTAAAGTGTTGATTACGAAAGTTACATTATACTCTGCTCACCAAAACTTTAAATTCTAATACACCTATAATAATTAGTAAATTAACTACTTATTAAATTCATTTTTTATATGCTGAGAATGCTGAGATATTCAAACACGTGTTTTGTTTCGGATGATAAAATAATAAATTTGTGGTGATATTAAAAAAAAATAATAAGAATAAAAATATTGTATTTTATTAATTTCAAATTAAGTATAAAAACCGTTAATAATTCAAGAAAAAAAATGTATAATATTATATTTAAAATAATCAACAAATAAAATATTGTGAATTTGGGTTAAAAGCTGCATTAATGTAAGGTGCATTGGGACAATTATCGGATACTGTAAACAATTATTGCTGTAGAGGTAACATGTAATATTATTTTTACTTTTTTGGTTATATTCCTAAAATATACTTACAGGAAATCTTTCTTGTAACATTTCATCGTCTTGAAAATAATAGCAATAATTTATTAATTTTAAACACTTAAAAAAATTTAATTATTTCAATTTCTGCGGTTAAATATTATTTTTTTTTAATGTGCTCAAATATTTTTCCCGTGTACTAGCTGAACTTTGGCCTTTTCATACATCAATTATAATTATGACTATAAAAAATTGTCATAAACTTGGTAACAACTTAAAAATCACTACGTTTTGATTTATTGCCAAAATACAATGACGCGCATTAAGGTCAAAACATGTAGTGGAAAGCCGAAACAAATTTTAGTTCCTCTACTCCTGAAATTAAAATCAAGGTAATAAAAAAAATTGTAAAATTAATTAATGTATATATGATACGAATTACATAGAAATATAAAATATAAATTTTTTATAAGATAATTTTACTTAATAGTATTAATACAATTAGACTATTTTATTTCATTATGCACTACCATCTACATTACATAAAAATACAAAGCTGTAATACTATAGGTTTAAAAAAAAATCAACAGGTAGCTGTGGGCCGTAAAATTAAAAAAAAAATTGCATACTTCTTTTGATTTTTCATGCTCATTGTTTTTTGGCATCACATCTAAATATCTAATGGTGGACACAAAGTTTTTCCTTCACCTAGATATTACATGAAACGGTTTGTTAAAAAAAAAAAAAAGATTTTTTGGGGCCTATGGTTGTGAAATTTTCGATAATCATATTAATGATTACATAAAAAGGTAGACCGACAGACTACACTACATTAGAACAAAACCTGCATATTGATGATATTACTGTCAAACATCTTATTGTTTTTGATTACCATTTACAATTCATAGAATGTATATAAGAGTACCTACTTACTATAAGCTTTTAGTGAGCGATTTTTTTTTTTACAACACCTAAATTATATAACTTCTTAATTGGTTCAATAAGTCGTTGGGAAATTTTAGATACATTTCTTGATAAAAATTCAGATTTTTTAAAAATATTAAAATATCTATTTAAAACAAGGTGGTTTTTAAGATATGGCATTTTTAAATCCCTTATTAAAGGATACAAAGAAATACTAAATTCGTTAGAAGAAATATATTAATTGTATATTAGACTATATGCTATGAAGCTCGTTAAATTTATAAAAAAAATAAATAGTTTAGAATTATTATTTTTATTATTTATGTGGAATCCAATTTCAAAACGTTTTGATGCTACTTCTAAAACATTATAATCATAAAATATTGATTTATCTATATAGTTATATCTCTATAACGTGCATTGAAATATTATATTATATATATATAAGAATATGAGAAATTAATTTCATATATTTTTAGAGAAAGCTGAAATTCGATGTGGTATTGAGTGATTTTGATCTCTAACAATCATAACCAAAAAAAAAAAAAAAAAAAATCAACATTACACAATTACGGTTTGAGCCCAGATGAAATTAATTTTACTCGGATTGAAAAATCGAAAACTGAAACTTTTTATATTGCAAATTATTGCCACTATTTATTTTCCATTAAATAAAAGAATGGAAATGTATATTAAAATCAATAATACATTTGGATTCATATTAAACTTAGAAAATGAGACCTTGGACAAAATATTCAAATAGAAGATAAAAATATCTTGTTGAATTATATAATTTAGATTTAAATACAGATTTTGAAGAAGAATTAATACTTTTTTTTAAGTTTTGTAAAAGATTTTCCAATGGAAGGAGTATTATTATTTGCTTTATCACATAAATTAATTATTCTATCGTCTTTAGAAACATCGTTTCCAAACATAAAAATTATTTTAAAAATTATTTGTACTCTACCTTCTTCAAATGTAAGTGGTGAAAGATCATTTTCTGTCTTAAAATGTGTAAAAAATTATTTAAAATCATTTTTAATTCGTAAAAAAATTTCCAATTTGTCAATATTATGTATTGAATCTGATTTAATCAAAGATATGAAGTGGCAAGAATACATAAATTTGCTATAATGAAATCCAGAAAAAAAGATATAGGTACCTACAGAATAATTTTATTTTTTCAACTATAAATCATAAAACAATTATAGAAGATTTTGATGATAATATTGTAAATCTATTAGGTATTATAATTATTTAGATTATTAATTTTTACTAGTAATATATTTTCAATTTGACTTAAATTGCTTTTTAAAAATGATTTATTTAGATGAATTTATGGATACATGAATAAGTTAAAGTACTAAAATAAACTTTTCTGGTTATGAGAAGGGGGTTAAAGGAATAATTGGCAAAAATTGTTTGCTCCATGATGGAATTAGACCTTAACCCAACTCGGTTTATTATACGATACTTGACTACAAAATAAGTTTAATTATCATTAGTTAGGTTTAATAAAAATATGTGTACCAATTTGTCGTACGATGAAATCTATGAAAATAAAAAAAACACCACACACACAAAAAAAGTATATTTTTATAACTTATAGGACATGTATAATGAATTACTTTAAACGGTTAAAACTAAATATTATATACTCTACTTTTAAAAACCCAAAATTTTTACTTACGTATTTGATGATATTATTAGTTATACACATGTGTATAGTATTTAACATTATAATCGATTATATAAATATATTGATACAATAAATATTAAGTAATAATTTATATTTATTACGTAGGGTTTTTAGCAGTATACAGATATTAAGATTGTATTGCGTACTTACGTTTGTTTGTAATTGTAGTTTACTCTTCTCCTGCTCATTTAAAGTGGGTGACAATAATATGTTTAATCACGCTGTGGCGACCTTGAATATTTATGCTATTTTTTACCACTCATTTATAAATGTACAATATAATGATAACATGTTATATTGTTGATGGTGGTGTATTTGCGTTTCGTAATCTATGATATTTATAGTGTACATAAATAAATAATTTTTAATACGTTATCTTTTGCAATCTTATAACATAAAACGGTTTATTATGTAAAGTTTTAATGTATAAAGATAGCGAAACAATATATCGTAAAGCGTATTACGTATAACTGTGTATTGTGTGTGTGAAGTTAGTATACGATTAAATCGTTAAATTTATTTTTTAAGGACTATTATCCTTAGTATAAACATTTTAATGACTAATATAACTAATTTAATAACTACTCATTTATATTTTTAATTAGGTAGGCACTAGACACATTA